CGCACACATATACTTACACAACGGGTAGCTACACTTACCAGTGCAAGCACGAAAAACTATTGAGCGAAAGGATTAAGTGAAGCTGCATGTAATTGTGGCAAAAAGAAATTGAAAATGGACAGCTTTTATGCGCACGAGATTGATATGGCGGCTCAGACAAGCACGTACCGACTGATAGTTATACTTATATGCGTGTATATGTGTGTTTGTATGGGTGTATGTATGGATATGTATGTGCATACATAACAGTTGAGTGGTAGACGTCTGCAGCTCAATTGTCTACGCATGAATGGAGAGGATGTTGAATTCGAATGGTTGGAAGACTAATTTAAGCAGGTACTCATAACTCCAAGTATACGGTGAGCTTACTGATTTTATTTGTATATGCTTTATGCTGTTTTACAAAAAAAAAATACTTTTTATTTCTTTAATATTAATAATTTTTAATTACTGAAAATAAATTTTACACTCTTTTTGATAAGCAATCAAAAAATGGCAGGCTCCCCTTTGAGGCACTACATTTGCCATAATTTCCTTCATATCTTGCATATTTATATATAATGTTATATGAGGTGTATGCAAAAGAAACTTTAAGGGACCAAGCTCCGGAAGCGTCTAGCGCATCTCTATCGTTATATGTAAACATGTGTTGTGTCGATGCAACACAAGTCTTCGCCTGTTGGCCAATGCTGGCTACTTCTGGGTGAAATTACTTCCGCCAAACTGTCGAATTGTAAACAGCACGGGTCCGAATTAAGAATTTGGCTGTCGAGGAGCAGCCATAGTAAGTGATCTTTTGACAATTTCACCAAACACAAAGCAAAACCTTTGAGATCGTCAATCCTGACTTGGCTATCGTTTGCGCCAACTCACCGTCGTAAGTAACTCACTTTTGATCATCAGTAACCAGCCACTTCAAAAATTAATATTATATATATATATTTTTTTTTTTTGCAATTCAGCAACGAATCGCTGATGAAAATTCGGTCCATGACTCATGTGGCACCTATATTTTGGATTCTTTTTGACAATTTACCTCCTAAAACTTGGTAGATCTTTGACATGAAAAATACCAGATCTACTAGGATAACAACCAGATAGCTTTATCTGCTGTCTTCACTAAGGTGTTCAGAACAGACCGAATAAAATTAACTCGTATCATTCAGTTCTAAAACGTTCAATGAAAGCAATGAATAATGTTGACTGACAGCGGCTTTCAAAGTTCATTACTAGTGCTTAAAATCAGACTATACTCTATTCTACCGAGGTTTTCATGATACTTTTACCTTTACTTTCCTAATCGGAGATGAAACGGATTGGTTATTCAACTCGCCAAAATACCGCAATTTATACCATAAACAGAGAAGAACCAAGCTAATGAAACTTATATACTTTTACGCGTTGTGAGGGCTTCAGAGTGCTGAAGATCTCTTACAGTTCAAATCTTGCAGTAACCAGTGGCATCACAAGATTATTTATGGGTCTTTAAAGAAACTTAAAAGACCTCCAAAGTAAATTTCGCTCATTGATAGCAAGAAAAAACTAGGGTTTATAGTCACTTACTAGGTGTAAAGAAACGTTAAATCTAAAGACTGATATAGACTTTTTAATAACCGTTTCATCTCGCTTTTTCGTCCTTTATTTTATTATCTCCAAACTTACTGAATATTTGTAGTTTCTACGGAGGAAGACAGCAGCTTAATGCAAAAATATATAGAAATGTAATAGTCTTATTTTTTTTTTTGTAATACTAAATCAGTAGCAATCTCTCAAGTTCGGTTTTAGGATAATCAAGGTAAGAATCTGAAACCTGAACTGTCCAATCACTGAACAGAAACGAAATTTAAGTCTTGTCCTTCAATACCTACTTATCCCTTTCGGTTTTGAAAAAATTTCTCTTGAAATTCTTTTTTGTGTAATTTTTCTTTGCTACCAAGTGACCTCGCTTAATAAGTGCAAGGTGATAGTTCAGGATGATTGGATGCTTTGAATGATTATGGTCTATCACGAAAAAATTTCATAATGTAGTGGGAATACTGCAATAAATTATTATTTGGTTTGCATAAAGATGGGGAAAATATGCTTGCATACTAAATACAAAGCAGCTGGAAGACCACGTGAAGCTATTCGTGGTCAGTATAGTACTTAGAGATCAATAATAGGATCAGAGAGGATTCTAAGCTCTTCTGAAGCAAGTTGAACTAATATCTTCTAACAAGTATGCTTTACCTTCATTACTGAGAGTTTAAGCTCGAACTTATAACAGACTTGAGTCAATATATATAAAAATTAAATAAACCCACGAACAACTTCAATGTTGTATAATAATAAAAAAGCACGGGAAATTAACCAAGAGTAAAAAAAAATATATTTTAAATTTAATATGCAATTATGTAATGCACCAAAGCAGAGAAAAAAACAGTGTGTAAAACCAACTCAAAAAAGTAGAAAAATTTTGCATACATCAAGGCGCTAAACCGCGCTACCACACTGAAAAGCTGTCAATGGCAGCAACCATAGGGAAATTTACAACCCGCAAGGACAAAAAAATAGAGACTGCAAAAAATATAAAAAAAGAAGTAAGTAAATGCAAAGCAAAAACCAAAAAGAAAAACGAGAAAATGAAAAAAAAGCAAATTGTATAAAGAAATAGTGTAACTACTTGTTATATGATACTTGTAGCAAGCACACGCAGACACACATACACGCGCAAAAACACGCAATCTAACACACTTGCTGCTGCTTGCGTAAGTGGCATATGTTAAGTTGCAAAGTACGCTGTAATAACAACAAAGTGCAATAATGTTGCAACGCCAAACACTTTGCCACAGCAAAACACAAACAAACAAATAACAAGAAAGACAGTAAAAAAATAAAAAAAAACAGTAAAAGGCAACGAATGCACAAAACACCAAACACTTGTTAGCAGCAGCATAAACAACTGCAACAAAAATGACATCAACAACAACAACGAATCTCCGTAAGTAAGTAAGTGATATGGAAAAAGTAATAAAGCAAGTTCTATGCAAAAGGCGAAAAAACACAATTTGTTGTCGCTGTTGTTGGCAATGTTAATGTAGCATACACATATATGTATGTGAACATTTGAGTGTTTATGTGTGTTTGCAACTACGTGCATATAATGTTGCAGCTTGAAGTGCTGCACACAAAAAAAAGACCAAGAAATAAACAACACTGTTTAGCAGTTTATTGCATAACAACAACAAAATAAACGTCAACTGCAAAATTTACAGTTGACACTGCAGCTTCTAAAGTAACGAAACAACAACAACAAAATAGTTGCGAAAAATAATAACAAAAACAACAAATATAAAAGTTACAAATGAAAACATGCGTAAATTGTGTGCGATAACACAGGCAACAACAATAACAAACGTGTGAGTGACAGCAAAAAGCATTACAACAACACAGTAGCTGTCAATTTATTGTTGCAACACTTACATATAAACATATATTTAAGACTTTTAATAGCAAAAATTAAAGATGCTATTGCGCTTACAAGTACCGTAATATGTGGCATTAATTTTTATTTTTATTTTTATTTTCTTTTTGCTGTAGTTGAATTTTTATTTTCTCCCAGGTTTCAAAAACAACCCATGTAGATTTAGCAAGCAAAAACATTAACTTTTGACCAATATCCTTCACGGGTAAATTTTGTATAGCATAAAAGCGTATAAAAAGTATTAAATTTATTTTTGACCGATCAGTTTGTAGGACAGCTAAATCGACTCAGCTGGTCAAACTGATCATTTTGTATCGTTTTATACTACCTTAAATTTCCTGCTGGTAGTTACAAACTTCACAACAAACTTAATACACCCTGCTCAGGGTATAAGAAGTTTATAAACAGTATATATTAGAAACCTTTATATATAATAGGTTCTACTGTAACACACATATGTACAAGCTTCTGCCTCTATTTCGATAACTCGTTCTCTTAGTACTCCTATTACGTCGATACATAAGATTCCTCTCACTCGCACTCTCTCGCACGCGAGAATCAATCTTGACCAGGAACAAAACTCAACTGCCTTAGACCAAAAGTCGTCCAACTGCTTAGCTGCCAATTAAAACTTTATACTTCTAGGTTACATTAGCTTCTCGATAGTCCCATGCGTGTTTGCCGATGTCACGATTTGGAAAAGTTATGCTTGATAGCACCAAATTTTTAAAATGTTTTATTAGAAAAATTTAATTTTCATAGAAAACTGTAGTTACTGTTGCTACTTGCTAGGATGTTGACTAAAAATATAAATGATTAGCGATAAAACTGGCCACAGAAATGTTTAGTGGTTTTCAACAGGCTTCCAACTATTCCAGAAATTTATTCATTCTTTGCAACTGCGCTCTCTCTCTCTCTGTTTATCTCTTTGTCTGTCACACTCTATCTCTATATATAAGTATGTAGCAGTGGTCTATTATGGCCACCACACTTTCACTCAAACTAATAAAGGCACAGCACTCTGATGAATTCCCAGATCCTGCTGGACAAAATTGAGGCCATGTGCTGCCTGATCGCATATAAAGATCCACGCACCTTGTTTATTCTATATATGTATATATCTGTCTCTCCTTCTAAATTTTTGTTCCTATCTTTCTCTTTAGATACAACTGTGTCTCTATACCTTCTTATTCCATATATGTGTATATATGTCTCTCTTTCGATATTTCTTTCTCTGTTTGTGCCTTTCTTTTTAGATATATATTATAGTTCGCTCTATATTTGTATATATTTGTATCCGTCTCTCGCAATATATTCGTCTATATATTTTTATGCATATCTGCCTCTAGCTTTTTATATGCCTGTCTCTGTCTTCCGCTTTCCTTTTCTTATTTGTGATGTTGTAAACCTTCTCCTCTTCATTCTTTCTTTCTGCCTTCGTTTTCTCATTTAAATATATTCCCAAATAGTAAGCTGTCTCCATGAATCATTTAAATAAATTTTTAATTTCAATATAAAAATTGAAACTTCATTCAAGTGGCGTTAGCACCAACTTTAACAGTAATCAACGCTTCGCTCTTCTCTTTTGGAGCAACAAAGTTTTTCCACAAAAGCAAGTGAAATAACACGTCTAAAACGACAAGCGTAAAAAAGTGAGTTGGCAAACTACAACTTTTTGTCAATGTCTTTCATTTGCTACTTTTATATTTTTAATTCTTCCGACAGCTGGCAGCTTAAACATCAAAAAATAGCCAATAAAACACCGTTAGTTGGGACATCAAAATTGCAAATGCCCGACGTCTGCATATTTCCAAATGGAATGTGTGTGCGGCACCCACTTTATCCGTCACTTTTAGCTCCAGCTTTGCAATTTTTATATATTTATTTTTATTTTTAGCTGTTTTCATATTTTTCCCCAACAAATAACGGTAAAAGGAGCTACTAATGTCGGCAATGTCAGGCTTTGAGCGCAGCTGAAGTCTGTCAGAAGCTGGCGGAGGTTGTCATAGAAACTCCCGCCGCTGAATGGTCGGGTGAATAGGCGGGGTCGCATGAAATAAGAGCAAAAGCAGAGCACAATAATAACAACACCAAATACCGTGACGTGCAAAACTACAGTGGAATGACAACAACAGCGGTGCGCTAACAGACAGCCGCAGGAAACGTACTCGTCTACGGAAGCGGATGAGGAATTGCGACAGCCAACGGCGACGGAATGTCACATTCTCGATGCAAAGAATCGGTGGAGTCGCCTGGCTTTTCCCTCATTTTTTTTTACCGCCAATTTATTGCAATTGCACTGCGCTTTGCAAGCTCGTGCTTTTTAAGCAATGTTGCCATATTATTTAATATTTGCAAATTCGCGTGCGATTTTAAAAGCATTGTAGAGAGACAGGGAAGAAAAACATACAGCTTCTCCTATTCATACTTAAACCATAAGTGTGTGGAAGCAATGCCTTTCCAGTGCCTTTTGTATAATGAGTAAGGCAATGACTACCCTCGCTCAGTTATTTCATTCATGAATTTATGAATGAGCTTTTGTCTGGTCGTGTCTACCAACACGAAGTCTACAAGTAATGTACAGGTTTGTGTTGTTAATTTTGACATCTCAGTCGCTGAAGTTAGCATTTTTTTGCCTTATATAGTTATTTTTTTAATTTTCTCAAGTATCTTTCACTGCTCTTTTTTACACTCTTTCGCTAATCCCTTAGGTGCAAATAAAGGCGCGACATGTTGAGCCGCTTAAGTGGTGCTGATGGTTGCGGTTTGGTGTGTTTCACAAGTTCAACTTGTTGTATTTTGCTGATGCAAATTTAAAAAAAAATTTTTGCGAACCACACAAGTGCAAGGAAACTTTGAAATTAGTGTTTTATTGTGTTTCACTCTTTCGTTTGAGAGTATGATTTTTAATGACAATCTGGCTTTAAACTGAAATTTAGTTATTAAACTCAATCGTAAAAAATACGTAATTTGTTTGCTTCGTAGTTTAATTGATTACTTATTTTGAAAAGCTGATCCTCGAACCAAAAGTATGCAGGATCCTAATTTAACAACTGTGAAGGCTGATCCTTTCGGATTCCCTATATATGAATCACCAGACTCTGAAAGATCGACGAATCGATCAATCTCAGTCACTTTGTCAAGTTCGCCAAAGTCTGTCCGAGATGTATCTTTTTGTATTCCACTCTGCGCCAGAAGAATTCACAGTCGCACAAGTTTTGTTCCCTCGACTAAACAATGTAATAAAAATGTGAGTGGAGAGCTTCTTGCACTTCCTTCTACAATTTTTGCAAATTATCTTGGCTTTATTCTGTTTTTTCCTTTTCGTAAAAGGGGCATGCAAACATCTTTTGTAACAAATTTTACTTTTTCGTTGTTATTTAATTTTTGTTCTGTTCTAGACCTACAGATAACGACCACAAATACACTCTTCTTTGATATTAATTTTTTTTACCTTTTTATGCGATAAGAAATGCACCTGTGAAGAATATTATTTTTGCGGTGAAACCAAAGTTAACGTTTTTTCTTTTATATATTTTTTGGTACCCTCATACAACAGGTTATCCTTATTATACTCCTCATCACTAATGCTTCGTGTGTAGTCTGAGAGAGCAAGCAAACTTGTACAAATAAAAATATGTATAAAGCTAATAAGTACATCATATTTGTGTGTAAAGCTGTATAGTATAGGGCATTGCGGCTCTTGTGTCAAGTAGTCAAAATAGTGGCAGCAAACGCCATTCAAACACAGCGCGCAGGGATGAGAGTTAATTTTTGCTTTAGCTGCTGTAAAATGGCGCTATCACACACACACCTAAACATATGTGAAGAAAAAACCAAAAAGCTGTAATGTACTATATTCGTTGTTTATTTATTTCATTAAAAAAAGTAAAACTAGCAGTGAGTGAGTGACTGAGTGCCCTAACATACAATATTATAATGAGGTGAAAAATATATGTAATATTGCTGGCTGCTGAAAAGTTCTCATGCAAGGTGTTCGTATGTGTGTGTTTGTTGTGCGCTTCCTTACAAGTAATTTAATTTTTATTTGCCTCCTCTACTTTCTTATTTCTTAATCTTGTCTTCTGCTTTTGGTATTTCCTCTTAAGCGCTTTCTTAGCTTGCACTGCCTTTAGTGTAATCCTACTCAGTGTGCTTTAGTAGTTTCTCTTGTTTGGCCGCCAGTTAATTAGACATGCTGTAGTAGTTACTTGAGTGCACTTTTACTCGTAAAGCTAATTAAAGTGTAAAATCAACGTAGAAGATGTTAGATATAGGAAATTCAATCAGATGGATTAAACAAAAATATTTTTAAATTTTATTTTTTTTTTCTGTACCTTTGATAGGCATTGCTATTTTACGCTGAATATCTCGTAAACACTAAACTTAATCGAAAAATTATACAGACCATTTTTGAAGACCAGACCAGATAATTTCTTATAAGACCATGAGCCTTGCAATTTAAAATTATGTTTTTTTTTATTGAGTTATAAAATTCAAAAAAAAAAGTTTACCTTAAAATAGTGATACTTCAACCGTTAAAATGTTTTAAACGGTTAAGTTTGCGAAAAAACCGTAAGACAGCATTTTGTAGCGGCTTGAATTTCCTACAAAATCGATAAAACGAAGTATTTTTTCAAGTAGTTGGAAGCGAGATATGAATTTTTCTATCTGATAATAGGAAAAAATAGAAAACGGTTAGGCAAAGGAACTTCCCGTTAAAATTAAGAGCGCATACTTGGAGAACTTTTCTTAGAGGTTTCTATCAACCAATTTTTTAGAGTACCAAGCGAAAAAAAAACATTTTTGTTTTATTGAGCCACCCTAATATACAGTGTTCTATATTTGTATATTCAAAGAGTTTATTCTCTTGAAAATAATTTTTTTGAAGTGAATTAGAAACTCGATTTTGCTAAATGCGTATTTATTTATATTTTTCAAAATTAAATTTTTTTTGTACTATCTATATAATTTCACATGGTTTTTAGAAGGATGTTTTTGAGGGACTGTTAGTAAATTTGGATGGCGCATACTTTTTAAGAATTCGTTAACACACTAAAGACCTCAAAATTTTGTTTAATTCGGACTTTCAATGAAAGGAGTTTGAGATTTAATTTTTATTTTGGATATTATTGGGTTGATTGCTTGTAAAATAATGCTTTTGAAATCAAAAGCTTTTGAAAAACCAATTTTTTGAAATTAACCTGGGTGTTTGTCTTATCGATTTTCTGACTCGTTGCATACCTTTAGGTGCCACTGGCTGTAGCGTTTCACATAATTTTCAAAGGGATTTATTATAAATATGCTGCTAGTGAAATTTTATGACGCAAAATTCGCCAGCACATTTCAACACTCAAATGAATACCGAAATAAATATGTGTAGGAATTTCAATGAAAAGTGTTGAAGCTTATATTTAGAGCAGAAATTGGTTGAAATTAATTGTAAAGCGAACAGCTATGGAGCACTCGAAGAGTTTGTTTCTGTTCACAAAAAAAAATCTTTCTTGAAGTCCAATTGAGCAGCTGTATATGCTTTTAACGATTTTTTTTGAGATTTGTTGCATACATTTAGGGATAATATTTGTTTTTACAGACTTTAGAGTTTTACATAGTTTGTAAAGGTATTTTTTCTTGGTAAACTTCTACCGTATTTTTATGGCTCATAATTTTCTAGAACACTTTAATCTTCTATTTGCTTTCACAATTTATCCAAAAATTCTACCAGAAAAAGTTCTGAAATATTGACTTTTGAAAAGATTTTCGATGTTCGTTTTTGAAAAAAAAATTATTATATATACGGAAATATGTCTACTATGCTGCTGAAATTTCGTTGCGTAAATACAAAATATTACTTTGGGATTTTTTAATTTTTTAATTTTAGTTTCAGAATTGTTTACTTTCCTTAAAGCTGCACTTTTCTTAACTTAATTTCTATTTCCATGCACCCTGGCGTATTTTTTCACTCTAACCTCTTTGCACTATCATTTGCTTATCAGTTTGTCATTTACTTTCAATACACCATTGAGCTCGCCTTTACAACTCATTACATTGCAAACTATGTATGCAACACTCTGTGGCAACAATGCGGCAGCTGCTTAATGTAATTCATAGCATACGCCGCTGCTGCGACATTGGCATTTCAATTTATTTTCAAAACACCTACTTTACTTATCGGCGCAACATTGTTGTATGCCATAAGTACAATGTACATAAGCGAGGGCAAACAATGAGCAAGCAACAACAACAACCACAACAATATCAAGAACTTTAAATTCTTTCAAATACTCGTTAACGCCAACGCTTGGCTGAGCGGCACAAACAATCCTTTTCCTATTATGTCATGCCACTTCGCCTGCTGCTGCTTCTTCTTCTTCATCGTCTTCTTCCTTCATTTGATACTCCTTGTGTCACAATGTATAAGCGTTTAAGCGCTGCTGTTGCCATATAACTACTTGGGGAACGAGAAATCCAGCATGCAAAATGTTTTGTAAATTTCACGTACATTGTATGTGTGAGTGAGTGTGTGTGTGTATGTGTGAATGCCTTTATGCCAGGTTTCGGCAGCTTTAAAAGCGCAGCGCAAACAACAAGTGCAACATATGCAATACCAGCAACGTCAAAAAGTCACACTATACGAAAGGCAACTAGGTTGCATGCAACATGCATATACAATATGCATATGCAACGTTACGTTGCAAGTAAAGACATCAAAAGCGGAAGTCGATACAAAGCGTCTGCCACATAAGTGGTTTCCGATGCAACAAACTCATGAAGTGGCAGTAGTGCAAGCACAACAACAACGACAACAACGCAGCAGGAATGCAGCTTGCAACACACACAAGCAAAATGATAACAATAATAATAATAATAATCAGAAAGCGAAATGTGAGCACCAACAATACCAATAATAACAGCAACAACAAAAGCGCATTTGATGTAAGTAAAACTTGCGTTGCAACAGTGGAGTGGCAACATCAATGTCACATAACCAGCAGCTACCAGTGACAGCAGTAACTACAATATGAACTCGTATCAACTCGCTCTACATTCATATGCAAATTATGCGCAGCAGCAACAACAACAACCACAACAAAAATAACAAGGAAAGATTTACTTGTACAACTTGAATGAAAATTGAAAAGGCGCCACATGCCACAGCAACATTAACCGGAGCAGTGACACAAGCCAGTATATAACTACCGTTATGCGTATGTATATATATACATACATACATATATATAGCTATGAATATGTGTGCGCCGGAAGTCGCATGCAGATAAAGCAAACAATGCGCTGAAGCTGTGCAACATGCGCATACTAAGTACGCTCCCGATAAGAGCTGGCGGCGTGCGGGTTGCTGCCGTCGACTTGTGCTGTGCACGACTGTGTGACATTTGCTAGCTGTTTGACTTTTTCCACATTTTGCCGCTTCAACTGCAGCAGCAGCTAGCGCATGTTGTACGTACGCCGACTGTGCAACATCTTCAACTTCAACTTCATTTCTTAATTTTCTTGTTGCTTGTTTTTCTTTTATACTCGCATATGATTTTTTTGTTGTTTTTTTTTTTGGTTGTTGTAGCTTTTTGCATCTTTTACGCTTGCCTCTCGCTGCGTGTAAATAAAGTTGTATGTTGGCTTGTTATGATCTTATATTCTTGTCCTCAAGCATTTTTTTGTTGTTGTGTTTGTTATTGTTGTTGCTTAAATGCCCGCTTGCTGTTTTTGATTACATTTGCTTTATATATTTTTGATTTTTGCTTGCTTGTTATTATATTTCTATAATTTTTTTTGTGGTTTTTTTAAGAAAATAATATATTTTATTGTTTTTGTTGTTTGAAAATTTCGTAATAAATATTTGTATTCTCCTATTTACTGAATATTATTATTGCATTTGCTTGCTTTGAGCTTGTTAACAACGCTGGAGAGCATATTAAATGTGCACGAAGCATACTTTAAGGCGCTTCAATATTTCTTAAATGTTTTGTACATGAAATTGACTTCAAAAATATTTTTATGAATTGAAAAAGTATTTGGTTTTTTGATTTGAAAAAGTTTTAAGCAGAAAAAATCTGCCTTACCGCCGTATACCTTTTTACTGCGGTCCTCCAGGAGATAAGCTAGGAGCTCAAGGGAATTCAAAAATTTTCAAAACGAAACGCCGATTATTAAATACATTAAATTCTGTAAATATTTTTATTTATTTTTTACATAAAATCACTCTCTAAAAAAAATTCACAAGCAAACGCGTTGCGTAGCAAGTGGATATAACCTGTTAATTAAGCTCTAATTGTCCGGCAATCATCATAGTAACTACTTCTACACTTAAATAAAACAAAAACAATAAATTCGTTTACTGCGCTAATAAAATTAGCATTAAAATTAGTACATGCACATCTATGCTTGCTAATGAGCTATTCAATTTAACGTAGCACACTTTTAGGTGCTTTGCCCAAGTTTGACGCTTATATACTTCACTATTGCATCGCTTTTGTTATCTATGTTGATTAAGAGTTTATTTATATTAATTTCCATTGCTACAACACTATTTTGTGCATCGCTTTATTGCCAATTTTCTGGTACTTTATAACAATTTTTCTGAAGTGGCTAGTAAAATAATAGAATTAAACTTTGATTTATTGCAATTAGAAGGATCTACGGTTCATTCTTAATTAAATTATGCTTATCTAGTTATTTGAAGTAGTTTAGGTAAATATTATTTTATCATGGAAAAAAAATGTTTTTCTTTAAAATTGAAACATGAAAATTTCGATTGCATATAATTAAGGCGCTGAACATGCGCTCAGAACTGTTTGCTTCTTCTAAAAGCTCATTTCTCTGAAAGACCAATTTAGACTTCTACTTTTGAATTTTGCACTACTAATATAAACAATGTTAAGATCTCTTAGAACCAAGCAGTCAGCACTGTGCCATTTAGCCTAAAGTCGTGCTCTTTGGAATGCTTTCCAATGAGTCAAAAGGTGTGAAAATAACAATTTAGTCGAAAATAAATATTTCTTTGAGCAAACTAGTTATTGTAAATATATAAATCTCTTGTAAGGTTCTCGAATCAAGACTTGCAGTAAGACGTCTGTATATACGTTTAAGGAAGTCGGCTTGATTCCCTCGTTTGAAAAAATGCTATTTATATCAAAGTCTAATCAATTTACGTCGAACTTCATCGCGAAAGTCTGACCATAACACATAAATGAAATTGACTCAACTAAGGAGACCAACTGAATATGATTAACATATAAGCATGGTCTGATTCTGATCAATTTCGAATCATTTTTCATGCTAGAAACAAGTCTTCAGCCTGACAGATGGAACTGGAGCATGTATTGTAGTTGCCTTCTGGTTTCACTGTTTATTTTCAGATTTTCAATAAGAGCTCTAGATATTAAATATACCGTCTGATCAAATTTGATCCGCACTGACAAAAAATTTAATTTAGACGTATTCAAATTATTAAATTTTTTTATCAATTCGGTTGGCGGGCAATGCTGTAATAGACTAGTCCAGGTCAATTTTGAGTTGGTATTACTTGATTTTATAGATATCACTAATGGAAGATAATATTGTATAATCTCCATTGATGAATAGCCATATAATCTAGTATTACATTGCTAGCTCTCCCTTGAAGCATTCATCAAGCAAAACACATCTACTAGAACTCGAAAAAATTCCGTCACTTGTTAAAAACTATGAAAAGTTCGCAACAATAAAATTTATAAGCTCTTAAAAGTTTTTAACATAATTTCTACACCGAATTTTGGCATACAGATGCCGAGACCTATAAGCCAGTAAAAGGTTTTTATGAACTTTTTAAATATAAAATTCACAGCTTATAATTTTGGAATTTTTATTTGAGTGAACAAGCATGACTTACTTGATCCTTTTCAAACAGGTGATATCCCAAGCGTTATATTCGCTGTTCCCCGTTCTTTCCTATAACTCATTTTTTTCACATAAAAAAATTACAATGTATCTAAGTTTCATTTTGTTACTCCTTCCATATTTACTGCCATAAAATCTTTTAGTAGGCTCTGAAGCTATAATCTATTAAATATCTATATTAACCCTATATGCATATTCTACTCGCCACCTTTAATGCTCCCAGCGCCAAATAATGTGTTAACTCCTTACTAAATAAATAACTTTACTGCGCTTGCCGCTAGCAGCTTATTTATATTTAGTTCCAGCATAAAATTGACCCCACGCCAATCATAGCACATTCGCTTAATAGCTCACGACTGCTTAGCAGCTCAATAACACGCACTTACGTTTTTATTATACACCCTGTAGCAGGCAACAACTACAATACACATATAAGTATATATATATATATATATATATATATATATATGAATGTATATTTATACCCTCACTGCAACGCCACTCACTCGCATTAAATAATAGTTCCGAAGTATTTGCTTTGCTCTGTTCTATGCTCGCACCATTTCTTACCCTAGCGGACGGCTGCTGTTGCGCCGCGCGCCTTAAGTGCCAATAAAAGTCAATCTTAACACTTTTCCGATAACCACTTAAGCTTTTCACATATTTCACCAAGACGCCAGCAACTGCATAAATCAGCTAATAAAGGCGTTTGTCGAGCGTTAGAGTGAAATGATGGAGCAAACACCAAATCCTGTAATACTACTAATAGTTAAGGAAGCCACCCCTTTGGAGTGAGTGTTTTTGTGTTAAACTATTTTCTACTGAAGGATTTTATTGAACAAATGTAAGTGGGATTTTGGTTCTGCTCGTAAAAAATTTGGTTGCTTCAAATAGTTGAAGCGTTTTCGGTGTTTCTGTTCATAGGCAGTCAGTTTGCCACTGCGTATGAGTAACCGCATGCAAGCACAAGTTATTGTAATATTTTCATCAACAATTTAAGAACTTAGGCTGAGCAGATCATAAGATGATTAAGCCAATGAAATTTGGAAGTTTTAAGTATTAAAATATTTTAAATATTTTAAGTATTTCATTAATTTCAACGTAAAATCCTTTGATATGATATTTTGACCGTAACAAAAAATATGATAGTTAGAAAAGTATTAAGTAATAAAATTTTGTTTACAAAATTTGGTTTGTAGTTCTTTTTTTTTTTTGTTCCAAATATCCGAAAACGGCTTTAACATGTTTTATAATAGTTTACTTTTTTCCTTAGGTGCTGTGACATCTTTTTTTATATTCTGCTGAGTTTAAACTTATTCGATAGATCGTAACTCTATTCTTCAATATATTAAAATTAGGAAATTTGACATACTTTCTTTCTGATCCCTATGTTATATAATTTTTTGTGATTATTTGTTTAAGCACTTCGGTGCTGCGGTAACACAATATAAGTATAGACTTTACCTTAAACCGACAAGTTTCTCAAGTAAAGAAACATTGAACTCTTACCGGCTTTTATTAATTAATTGTAGCAACGTTTAATCATATAAGAGAAGAAGTCATGTTTGCCTTACAAAATAAATAATATATGCAAAAATATATTTTAAAAAAGTATTTTTGAAGAATTAGATTTTGTTTTTCTATAAATTTATTTGGCAAAAGCCAGAGTTGCTTAAGTAGCCATATTTATGCATACATATATAAAAATATTAAATATTTATGGGATATATTTGAAATACAGTTACTGAAAATTTATTTTGAAATTGAACAAAATTCTTCAATTATTGATAAATCAATAGCCAAAATTTTCAACAACATTAAAGATATTTCAAAAACTAGATTTATTTTTTTAAATTTGGTTAAAAATAATTTAACATTTTTTAGTTTATTTCAAATGTTTATTTTTTCGCCGTTATTCATATTTCTAACGATTTTCAATATAAATCAAATTTTTTATTCTACTTCTGTTGTATTAATTATGAAATAAAATACTCAGATACTAACAGTGAAATTTAAAGGAATTTGTAACTGAAAAATAATAATTTAAAATTAATTTTTATTACAAATTATTTTAAAAAAATAATTTTTTGAAAAAATTTGATTTTTGTAAATAAAATAAATGAAATTTAAAAATGAAGAAAATTTAAAAAATTAGAAATTTTTCAAATATTATAAATTAATTTAATTATATAATTTTGCAACGATTTTTGTAACTTAGAAATAAAATTTCAAATAATTTTCAAACTTTTTAAAACAAATAATTTTTTTAATATTATTTTGCATTTTATTGCTTATTAAAAAAATTTAAATTTTTTTAAATCAAATTTAATTTTTACTTTTTTTAATATTTCTTAAATTTGTTGAAATTTTTGTTTATTAAGCTTTGGTATTAAAAAGATTTCAATAAAAATAAGTGTACAAATATTAAAGGTTTTCAAAACTTTGCTTTATAATTTATTTATTCAAAATATAACTTATAATTCTTGAATAATTTTTTTTTTAATTTGTGAATTATTTAATTTGTTATTAGAAAACTTATAAATTTATAATTAAAAAAAAGTTTGTAATTTTTACTTTTATTTCTATTTAGTTTTTAATTTTCTTTAATTTTTTAATATTTGTTCAATTTTTGACAATATTAAAATTTTTTTTTTTTTTTTTTTTTTAGTTTTTTATTAAACATATTTTAATAAAATGAATATAGGTAACAATAGTAAATATTTTCAAAAATTAATTTTTTAATATTTTTTTATTATATATTTTTTTCTTTTATCTCATTATTATTTAATTTTTATATATTGTATAGATTTTTATTGTTTTTAATGTTTAATTTCTTAATTTTTTCTTTGTTCATAAATAGCATGCTTTTTCTGATTCTTCTTGTTTCTTGTCTTAAGTATTTTCTTAAAAAATAAAAATATTAAATAATTAAAACCATATATACTCACCACAGCGCGGCACGCCGGCGTCCGATAAATATCACTAGCGCCAGAGAGGCTCTGAAAATATTTCTTTGTGCCGTAAACGGTATCCATTTTTGCGCTCCTTATGTAGTCTGCCGTGCTTCTTAATGATGATGTAAAATATGACGAAAAAATAAATATGTCTCACTCTTTTAATTTCGCTGCACTAGTGAGCACTGTGCGTCTATTTATTAACTTCAAAAAAATTCAGTAATAACCACTTGCAACGCAGTATTTTACATTTAACGCTGATTTCGAAAATTTTCATATAAATAAATTTTTTTCACTGACACACAGGATCACATATGCATGTGTATGAGCATCAGCGCTGGCCAGTGGCTGTGAGCGGCATATTGCTAAGTGGATCGCGACAATTTCATTGTCATAACGTGCGTCACTCACACCGTCTTTCATGCAACATATCAACAGCGCCGCTGAAGTGACACCTGAGTCGCAGTTGCAGGCGTCGCGCGAGTATATGCGTGTCTGTAGGTGGCTCAGTGTATGTGTTGCGGTGCGTGGAACTGTATTAATAGCATCAACTAATGAATGCAGCGCAGCAAAAAAACAGAAAAAAAAGTTGGAAAAGTGCAGCTGGTGCTGTTCACGCTTAATATGCGTAATGAAATTGAGTTGGCAATGGTTGTTGTTCTTGTTGTTTTTGTTATCGCTTGCACATTTTTGTTGCTGCTACCCTGCACTGGGTTCCGTTGCCAACCGGCAGCGATTCGGCTTGTAAGTTTGCTTGTTCCGTTGGTTTGTTGTTCAGTCGAGTTGTTGCTGTTGTTGTCGTTTTTGCTTGAAGCATTAACATCAGTGTTGGTTGTCGGCGTTCTGACGTTCGTTGATGATGAGCGATGAGCTGCCGCCGTTGGCTCTTTTTTCTGCTACTCGATGGATTTTATGTGGTAGGTGAGCGCTGTAGCTTCAGGTGAAGTGTTTCATAAATTTTCTGTAAAAAAAATTTTAATTTTGTTAATTTAAGGTATATAATTAATGGAAAGTTTGACAATTTGGATTTATCTTCTTTAAAGCCTTAATTCATAAATACAGATTCTCATATCAGAAAACATATAGTTTTGCATTAATTAGAAACCATTTTTATGTTGTCTTTCCCTGAAACCACTATGAGGAAAATTGAACATAACCTCACAACTAACTGTATGGTGCCTTAACTTAGGTAGAGGTCGCAAACTAAAGTATAATTTAAATAATATCGGACCTCTACTGGTCAGGTATAGAAGAAGCAGCTATTTATATTTACTTCTTCTTAAATTTCAAAAAACCTAATTGGTCAACTCTTTCTCAAATAGCTTGCAATTAATTCGAACGCCGCTACAAAAGTCATTCTTAGAGTAGAGGTCTTCTTACGGCATGTCATATATAAAAGGTATAAAATATGGCAACAACAAAAGAAAATGCACTGGCTCTTTAGAATATACGGGCACAGCAAAATGTCTGCATTGAATGCGATTTTTTGATAGAGCTTTCAGTTCGCTGATACTTTCCCTAATTAACCCTTTGACTTCTTTTTCAAGCTTGCATTTTTAAGACGGTCTTCGGGCTTCCGCGATATCTGCTGTCTTGTGGGTTCCGCTCCAGCTGCAGATTTCATCCATTTGCTGCCGCAAAGTTTATATAAGTCTAACCCTCTTTACGCCTGCATATTTCCTCGGTTATTGGCGTTTGTGGACATCTTGTTCAAAGTTCTGTATTTTGGGTTGCATTTGGCCACCTAATCTTTAAAAATTTATTCAGACACTTATGAACAAACACTTGCATTATGCTTGACGAGGTGTTGCTTATCAACCAAGTCTCGCAACTATAAAATTATGAATAAGCGCCAGATTTTATTGACTTGTAGAAAAGTAATCCAAACTTTGAAGAGTCTGGTGCTTACATCAAGCATTCAGTTTTAGACCCGCTTTGTTTGACTCAGCGAGAAGGACGTTGATTTTGATTTGCTTGGCAGATTTTCTCGAAAAGATTAAGCAGATGTCGTTTACATAGTCAAAATTGTCAAGGTCCCTTAAAGTTTCATCTAATATCACAGTTGCATGCTTTGATCGATGATGAACATAATGTCATCAAACAGACATAAGAGAGCCCTGTCGAACGTCGATAGTCTACGAATATCAATTACGGTGCAGTGTGTCACTCTATCGATTGCTCGACAGAAAAATTTACACCTTAAGAAGTTAAATTGATTTAAAAAGGAGCGGTAATGCCTGAAGCTTGCTGTTTACATATTGAAATATCCAATTTTCTTTTAAGGCGGTTCAGCAGAATCCTTGTTAGCACCTTCGACGGTATAGAAAGTAGCTTGATGCGTATCTAATTGCGGCATTGGCTGTCTTCCTAGCTAATGCGGCTCTATCGACCGGGATAAGGGGTATAACCTTTCATCGCAAAGATGCTGAAATGTATAATGCGCCTAACATATACTGGTTGAGTCGCTCAGGCCTAACACTTGACATGCATCCTTTGAACGGGGCTCTAACTATTCTACTACCATTAAAAAGAATTACAAATTGCTTCACTGAAAAAATTATCACTAACATGAAAATATACTAAGCATTATTTAAGGTCTGAGTAATCAATGAGTAATCCTTCTTATAGATTCCCACAAATTCATTTTGCTTCAAGTCATCTGGATGACCACCAATTTTTTGATAATATTTTCTGCATACATCTCATTTATGCGATGCCAAATAGCCTGTCATTACTTAGTTTATGAGATGTAGTCATACTTCAGGATGCAAACGCTTGACGCGAATTTCGATAGGTTTCGCGGCCTCACTTACAGTGTCTCATACTGTGGAGGCCTCAAATGTTTGTGGTATTGCCTAGATAGTGCGTACCAAACTGTGACCAGTGAGTACTCCCATCATGATCCTACAGTATTTCGTTCAAGAGTCATGAACTTTATGTATTTTTGATTTACTGCGATGTACATAAATTTTACAGTATTGCACACAGGTAGATCATTCGATTAAAAGGTTCCGAAAGCAAAATATTATAATATCATATTATGAAAAAATATATATATATTTGGCTTCCACCATCATTTCAGGCTAATAAGTACCCTGCTTTTACTCTTCTTATCCATATTAACCTATGAGAAAACCCTAATGGTAACGTTCAACATGAGTCTAATCCAGAGATTGAACTCAATATATGTATCCCATGAAATTGCACTTTTTCCATCATTAACCACATATAGTCTAAGTGGACTAGAAAATGTATATCATATACAAGCTTTATTAACATAAAAATCAATTGATTTTAAGGCCAAAGTGACCCATTGCTATTGTCAACGGTTTAAAATCACTCAATTAACATAAGAAAATCAAGGCTAGTCAGCTTTCAAAACTTAGACAGCTGATTTTTTCATTATGTCGTGCTAACAACAGCAATTTGGCAACTCTAACACTTTTATCTTGAATTCTTACCTTACTAGATTTCTATATCAAGCAAAATAGTCTGAAATTATTTATTTATATCGAACGCAGCATGTCCTTAGTCTACAACAATTTTTCAACAACAATAAAAAATATTAGAAATTAAATTGAACCGAAGCGCTTGAGGATTGCCACCCGCTACGTATTATATTTACTTAATTGTCAAGTCACTTTATTTAGCGCGCAATTTACAGCAGACGACTTGTTTCTTTTCTACAACAACAAGAAATATGATATACGCAGCAACAAATGGAAAGAGATAGATAAATTGCAAGTCAGCGAGTTTAAAGGCTAGACAAGTAGTCAAGCCGCGCACAAAGTCAAACTGACTGACAATGCCAATATCACAGCGCCACAACGAACAAAAGTGGACAATCCTGTTTATGCAACAAACAAGCGGCCGCAAGGAGTGGAGGCAATGGAAAACTGCAAGCGAAAAATTAAAAAAAAACGCTGCAGGGAAATTCTCACTTTTCGGCGAAAACTTCAACGGCAGCAAAAAGCAACAACAACGACGAACAAACAAGTACAAAGGAACGCCCAAAGTCCAAGTCCAAGTCTGAAGCCCACAAACAACGCATCATCCGCTTGGCGACAAATAAATGGCAAAGCAGGAAAAGTGAACAACAGGCGTGTGGAAGCGACCAGCCGTTGCCAACAAGCAAACTGGGGAGTTTTACCAAATTCCACTGCCGCAACGGTGACTGCCAGCTTTTGTTTGTTGTTTGCAACAAAATTGAGAACGAGTTTTACGCGCAGCAAGTGCTAGCAACAAATAGTTGCAAGGAGAATAGTGAAAATTTTCGGTGCAAAAAATAAGCAAATAAATTGCACATTCAAACAGCCAACAGCTTGCAATGCAATATGGACTATGGACACAATGATAGCAACAAAGATTAGCGCTTCGTAACACAACTTTACAACAAAGCAGCGCTGCTTAGTTACAAAGACGCTTTTCTTAGCATTCTTAGACGGAGGAAATGCAGCTAACAGCCGCTAGCAACAGACAGATAGTGGAAATTGGAGCACAAGAGGTGAAGACTACTTAACAGCGGGCGACAATGAGGCGCAGCAACAAAAGCAATGTGCGGGCAGTAGAGATAAAGTTGTGTGATTAGCCAGCGGCTAATGGAGTAAAAGGAAATGGAATGTGTTGGAAAAGAGTAGAAAAATGTGAAAAAAGTGAAAAATAATATACTGCTAGTTAAGCTAACATAAATGCTGTATATACAACAGTTAGCAATACTGCGTTATGTTGAAAAAAAAATTATAATACGAACAGAATCTGCTAGCTTTAAGTGCAGTATTATGGCTCATATCCACTAGTTTAAAATTAGATATATTTGTTGTATTTGTTGTTATTAATAATGGGTTCCTTAAGATCTCGGTTCGCCTTCAAACATCCACTCTGCATACATTTGTCAGGTAATGATCGACAAGATATGATTTTTAGGCCACACATTTAACACCTCAGAAGGTTTTTTCACAAGAAACGACTTTTTTTGAGAAGTCACCAATACCCGAATTTATCTATAACAACAAAAAATTATTTTTTTTGTTTTGCTTTTTGGATTTGCGCTAATTTTAAACAAAGAGCTCTTTATCACACACAGATACCTTTTTGTTTTGGAAGTTCTCCTGGAGATGGACTACAGGATCAAGGGTATCCATAACTATTACAAGCTTGCTGTTTATTTTCTCTCGACTCGCACTTCATAGATACACTTAATTTGAGTTTTGATAGCAGCGCCATGAAGTAATCAGTTGAAAAAGTAATGTCAATCGACTATGTTAATATTATTTATTACTTGACTGAAATAATTTATTAATTCACCAAAATAATTAAAGAAATTTTTTAACATAGTAAATTTACATGCTGAATTTGCTAATTGACACAATTAAAACTCATTAACTTAATAATCATTCGTCTCAATTTAAATACGAACTGAATGTTGATTGGACTATTTAATTTTTTTGCGTATTAATATCAGTTGAAAATTATTGTCCATCGACGAAATTAATACTATTTATTATTTGACTAAATTAAAACTTAATACTTTAATTTACGTTAATTCACTAAATAAATATTGTTAATTTGTCAATCGACTTTATTAATATTAATTATTAATTGATTAAATTAAAAATTAATATTTTCAATTTGTTAATTACTTAAATAATGTAGTTAGTTCACTAATTAAATATTGCAAATTTGGCAATAGACTTTATTAATATTAATTATTAATTGACTAAATTTAATATTAATATTTTTGGTTTGTAAATTGACTCAATTATTATATGTAGGTAAATTAACGCCGTCATTTTATTTATTAACTTTGTCAATTCGTTAATCGACTAAATTAATGCTATTTAATAAGTGACTAAATTAAAAATTAATACTTCAAATTTTTTAACTCACCAAATATATACTGTCAATTTGTCAATCGACTTTATTAATAATAATTATTAATTGACTAAACTGAAAATTAATAAT